AAAATATGACTTTTCCAGAATTAGTACACCCTTTAACATAGAAAGGTTTGTACCCTGTTATATTTGCCAAATGTTTTAAAATATTAGATAGATCTATTAGTAATAATGGCAATGTTATCTGTATCAGAGTTATTTTGGTAAATAATCATATCAACATACATAATAAGATTGATAGAATAAAATGCTTTCAAACTAAGCAATATTATTCAAAAATTATTTTATAATTCTATAATGTATGTCGGTTTTGAATATTTTAAGCAGTATGTATTTTTCTCTACAGAATGCAAGAACTTGTACGTAGAGGTAATTCACAATATCCTGGTGCAAAAATATAGTTCGTGACAATGGGGAACGTATTGACTTACGCTTTCATCCCAAACTCTGATTTGCATCTTCAATGCGGATACAAAGTTTGAAAGGCATTTAAGAGATGATGATTAGTGATTTTTCAATCGGCAGCCCACTTTGCACAAAATGAGTATGATGGGTCACAGGGTAAAAGTCCTGCCATGGTCTACATTCCGTATGAATTTAAGGTAATGAATTGATTTGTTATGAGTATTTAAATTTCGGTAATACAGTAAGAAAATTATGATTCCATTATAGTTGTACATCTCCATACAATGCTGATTTTGATGGGATGAAATGAACTGCATGTTTCCGCAATCCATGAAACACGAGCTGAAGTAGAAAATATTCATATTACACCTCGACAAATTATTACACCACAAGCAAATAAGCCTGTTATGGGTATTGTACAGGATACTTTAACTGCAGTTAGAAAAATGACAAAACGTATGTATTCATCGAAAAGGAGAGATGATGAACATACTTATGTTCTTACCCCACTTGGGATGGGAAAATGCCACAACCTTGCATATTTAAAACCAAAACCATTATGGACTGGTAAACAAATCTTTACACTTATCATTCCTGGTAATGTAACATGATCCGCACACATTCAACCCATCCTGATGAAGAAGATGATGGACCATATAAATGGATTTCTCCTGGTGATACAAAAGTAATGGTAGAACATGGACAATTGATTATGGGAATCTTGTGTAAAAGAACCTTGGGTGCTTCGGCAGGTTCCTTGCTCCATATTGTTTTTCTGGAGTTGGGACATGAGACAGCAGGTAGATTTTATGGAAACATTCAAACGGTGGTAAACAATTGGCTTTTGTTAGAAGGTCATAGTATTGGTATTGGTGATACTATTGCTGATCCTCAAACCTATATGGAGATCCAGCGTGCTATTAAAAAAGCCAAAGAAGATGTCATAGAAGTTATCCAGAAAGCTCACAACATGGAGCTAGAACCTACTCCAGGTAATACCCTGAGGCAGACTTTTGAGAATCAAGTAAACAGAATTCTAAATGATGCTCGTGATAAAACTGGAGGATCTGCAAAGAAATCTCTTACCGAATATAATAATCTAAAAGCTATGGTGGTGTCAGGTTCCAAAGGTTCCAATATTAACATTTCTCAAGTTATTGCTTGTGTAGGTCAACAGAATGTAGAAGGTAAGCGTATTCCATTTGGATTTCGTAAGCGGACCTTGCCTCATTTCATTAAGGATGATTACGGTCCTGAATCTAGAGGTTTCGTAGAAAACTCATATCTTGCTGGCTTGACACCTTCAGAATTTTATTTCCATGCTATGGGTGGAAGAGAAGGTCTTATTGATACTGCTGTAAAAACTGCAGAAACAGGATACATCCAACGTCGTCTGATAAAGGCTATGGAGTCTGTTATGGTACATTATGATGGAACAGTTCGTAACTCAGTTGGACAACTTATTCAGTTAAGGTATGGCGAGGATGGTTTGTGTGGTGAAGCAGTGGAGTTCCAAAACCTTCCCACCATCAAGTTATCCAATAAAGTATTTGAGAAGAAGTTCAAGTTTGAATTATCAAATGAAAGATATCTCCGGAAGATATTTAATGAAGATGTTGTAAAGGAACTAACAGAATCAGGCTATGTTATTTCCGAGCTGGAAAGTGAATGGGAGCAGTTAAATAGGGATCGTGAAGCTTTAAGATCTATTTTTAGCAATGGAGAATCTAAGGTAGTACTGCCTTGTAATCTACAGCGTATGATTTGGAATGTGCAAAAAATCTTCCATATAAATAAACGAATGCCTACTGACTTGAGTCCAATTAAAGTTATTCAAGGAGTAAAAGATTTACTTACAAAGTGTGTTATTGTAGCTGGTAACGACAGGTTGTCGAAACAGGCTAATGAAAACGCCACTCTACTATTTCAGTGTCTTATACGTTCTACATTGTGCACTAAATATGTATCAGAAGAATTTAGGTTATCAACTGATGCTTTTAATCTTCTAATTGGAGAAATAGAAACACGTTTTCAGCAAGCTCAATGTAATCCTGGAGAAATGGTTGGTGCCTTAGCTGCTCAGTCTTTAGGAGAACCAGCTACTCAAATGACACTGAATACTTTCCATTTTGCTGGTGTATCATCAAAGAACGTAACTTTGGGTGTACCTAGATTGAAGGAAATTATCAATATTTCCAAAAAACCTAAAGCTCCTTCACTGACTGTATTTTTAACTGGGGGTGCAGCCAGGGATGCGGAAAAGGCTAAAAATGTACTTTGCAGATTGGAGCATACTACGTTAAGAAAAGTAACTGCAAATACAGCTATCTATTATGATCCCGATCCACAAAACACTGTGATATCAGAGGATCAAGAGTTTGTTAATATCTATTATGAAATGCCTGATTTTGATCCAACAAAGATTTCACCATGGTTGTTACGTATTGAATTAGATAGGAAACGTATGACAGATAAAAAACTGACCATGGAACAGATTGCTGAAAAAATTAATGCAGGCTTTGGAGATGACTTGAACTGTATATTTAATGATGACAATGCTGAAAAACTAGTACTGCGAATTCGAATTATGAATAGTGATGATAATAAATTCCAAGATGAAGAGGAAAATGTTGATAAAATGGAAGATGATATGTTTTTGAGATGTATTGAAGCCAATATGTTATCTGACATGACATTACAGGTATGTCATTTTTTTTTTGAACATAGCTGTACAGGAAATATTTATAAATAATTTTTGTTATACAGGGCATTGAGGCTATTGGAAAGGTATATATGCATTTACCTCAGACGGACAGTAAAAAACGAATTATAATTACTGAGACTGGTGAATTCAAAGCAATTGCTGAATGGCTATTGGAAACAGATGGAACGTCAATGATGAAAGTTTTAAGTGAGAGAGATGTTGATCCAGTCAGGACCTTCAGTAATGATATTTGTGAAATTTTCTCGGTAAGTTGTGAGAATTAATAATCTGCATATATTTTATTACTATATTTTTATATAAAATACTATAAAATGAGAGTAATCGCTCTAAATGTCCTAAATAAATTTTAGGTGCTGGGAATAGAAGCTGTGAGAAAGTCTGTAGAGAAGGAAATGAATACTGTATTGCAATTTTATGGTCTTTATGTAAACTATCGACATTTAGCTTTACTTTGTGATGTTATGACTGCCAAAGGTCACTTGATGGCTATCACTCGTCATGGTATTAACAGACAAGACACTGGAGCTTTAATGAGATGTTCCTTTGAAGAAACTGTTGATGTATTGATGGATGCAGCTTCACATGCTGAAGTAGATCCAATGAGAGGAGTGTCTGAGAACATTATTATGGGACAACTGCCCAGGATGGGAACAGGTTTGTTGATATTAATATATCTATTGCTGTTATTCTTGTTCAAAATATTTGCCATAATATTGACTTCATATATGTTACTTTTAAATAGGATGCTTTGATTTATTATTGGATGCTGATAAGTGTAAAGATGGTATTGACATTGCAAATACTCTTGGCGGCGTTGTTGGTGACATTGGCTTCTTTGGTATTGCTACCACTCCTAGTGCAAGTCCTAGAATGACACCATGGAGTCAGGGAGCTACGCCAGCCCATGGAGCTAGTGCTTGGTCACCAAATCAATGTAAGTTTTTTGACTAGTTGAAAATTATATTCATTATTTTAACATAACATCTGAGATTGAAGTTAAGACAAATATTATCTCTGCAGTGTTCTTAAGATATTCCTCATCTTAAACATCTTCCAATGTACAATAATAAGTAATTTTTCTTATACGTTTGTGTGTGAATTAAATTATTTTTTTAGGAATTTTTTTTAACTGATAAATATCATTTTAGATTCCATGATGACACCAGGTGGGCCATCATTTTCGCCATCTGGCGCTTCAGATGCTTCTGGCCTTTCTCCTGGCTGGCAACCTGGATCACCTAGTTCTCCAGGACCTTCAATGTCTCCATACTTTGCATCACCATCGGCATCTCCACCTTATTCACCAAACAGTCCAGCATATGCACCCACCTCGCCGAATATGACACCTACTTCTCCAATGTATTCACCAGCCAGTCCATCGTACTCTCCAACTTCACCAAACTATTCACCCACAAGTCCAAATTATTCTCCTACAAGTCCAAATTATTCACATACTAGCCCCAGCTATTCACCAACTAGTCCATCTTACAGTCCCACTTCCCCTTCATACAGTCCTACTAGTCCTAGTTACTCCCCTACATCTCCAGTATATTCACCAACAAGTCCTAACTATTCTCCAGCAAGTGCAAGTTATTCACCCACAAGCCCTAGCTATTCGCCAACAAGTCCCAGTTATTCACCTACAAGTCCCAGTTATCCATCAGCATCTCCATCATACTCTCCAACTTCTCCCACATATTCCCCAACATCTCCGGCTGCATATTCTCCAACAAGCCCCAATTATTCCTCATCCTCACCAAATTATACACCAGCATCACCTAACTATTCACCGACAAATCCCAGTTATTCCCCAAGTTCTCCTAGGTATTCGCCAGGCAGTCATAGTTATTCACCAAGTTCACCAAAATATTCTCCCACCACTCCTAATTATTCTCCAACGTCTCCATCATTTGTTAGTGGAAGTCCGCAATATACACCAACAACTCCCTCTTATTCACCTACCAGTCCCAGTTACTCACCTACTAGTTCAAATTATTCCCCTAGTTCTCCACAACATACTCCAGGTTCTAGCACAAGGTATTCGCCTAGTTCACCAAATTATTCGCCAACTAGTCCTAGTTATTCACCTGGATCTCTACAGTACTCGCCTAATAGCAAGTATTCACCAACAAGCCCAACATATACCCGTACCAGTCCTACGTACTCTCCATCTTCGCCATCATTTACAAATACACCCGGTTACAGTCCAACAAGTCCTTCTTATAGTCCAGCAAGCCCTAGTTATGATGAATCATCAGACTAAAGTTAGTTTGTATTCAAGTATGTGTAGAAAAAGTATGTCGACACATTTTGTATAAAAACTGTAACCATATCCATAGTATAAAGTTGACTTTTTCTTCATCGTAGATTATATATCTATATATATGTAATATATATTTAAGGATGTAATTTTATTTAAAACAAAAAAAGAATAAACTATTTTTTTTATATGTATATAAAAATGTATTATATTTCATTCTAGTTTCTGTACAGTTATTTTGTACAATTTAGTTAAAATGATGGTTTCATATTATATTCATGTGCTTGTATGCATGTATAATGATGAATATAAATTAACATTAACAAAATTGGAATGATGGCGGTGGTAACCAATTTTCATTAGTTTGAAACTATTGATGAAAATGGGATGGCAGCTTTTCCATGATATACTTAAAAATATGAATGAGTTTATTTTTTAAAAAAATATTTAATTCATGTCATGTTGATCGTAAAATTTACATAAATTAATCATCAGATCCATAAAACAGTAAAACAGTAAAACATAAAAATTATTCTATTCAGTCCGCAGACTGAAGACTAGCCTTGACAAGATTAGAAATATAACATATTTAAGGATCTAATATGAACATTGATAAATTTATAACATTTTATCACATTTAATATTATTTAAAATTAAAATTTCATAGAGATATCCTTTGATGGATTTATGATAACACATAGAAAAATCGATTACATTAAATTTCATACCAAAAAATAAAAACCCATACAAGATCATGTTTCAAAAAAACAATACTTCTAAAAGCATTAATTTTGAAAATTGCTCTTGTCAAAGAAGAATACAAGCTTTTGATATTTTTCTAGGTCTTCTTGGTACTAATAAAGAAGCATTTGGTTCACCTGTAAGATCTTTGCTTTCTTCTTTTTGAAGTCTATGTACTATAACACGATAAGCACCAATTATATCACTTCTCGGTCCGGCTTCAATTGCATCACAAATCATTTGCTCTGTTATACCTAATTCTTCTAATTTCTTTCTTGCTTGAACTTCAAATTTATTGAGCCCTTCTTCTAGATTTAAGGTATTTGTGGGTAGCATCACAAAATTACCTTGTTCTTCAGGATACATGTTAGACTCCTCTGACAATTTGCTATCAATGCTAAATTCCTTTGTTAAACTATTCGTAGATTGAACATCCAAAACCTCTATGCTATTTCGTAACGAATCCGCTTGCTTATCATTCATCGGCGCTATTTTCTTTTTAAGGTTTGCACTTTGAAATAACTTCTTTGTTATTTGCCGAGTAGAAACCGGGATGGATGCTTCTTTAGCATCGATGGCACCACCGCAAGCATTTAAAAAATTCGGATCAAGAACACTGTTATTGCGTTTAGTAGTACAAAGCTTCGGATCGTGTCCAGTTCTTTCACAAAATTGCGACATTCTGTGTCCATTTCTGTTTTTAGTGTTATTTTTAACGTATATATTAGCACTTTTGTTTTCAGACGTATCTTTTTGCTTGTTGCCACTAAATATAGAGAGAAAAGTACTTTTTGGTTTTGGCACATCGTCTATTTTATCGGGTGCGGCTGCACTACTGGAAAACCAATCGCTAGTCAAAATATCATTTAACGACGGACGACGGTCCGGCTGATGAATTAAGATGCGTTCTGCAATTAAGAATTAGCAATAAGTATCAACAAAATCATTCCTCGAAAGAAAATAATTTATCTTCCATAAAAAGACATTATATAATGAAAACTTAGTTCGTTGCCGATATAAACTAAGCCGAATTAAGCTTTGATGAAATGATGAATATCCGTATCACGATTTTCATGAACAAAATATACAAAAGCATATAATATGAACGCATCTAACATCCGGGTACGCATTTTTTGCTTAAAATATATTAATAAGTAAAATAATAGTTACTCAAACTCACCTATCAATCGAGAACATAAAAAGGTGAGATGAGTTGGCATAGTATAATTGCCATTCAACACGCTTGCTCTCAGACCAGGAACAGTAGGCGCCCTGAACGGCATATAGCCGGCAACCATGAAATATAAAAGAACTCCCAAAGCCCATACATCAACTGGTCTAGAATAAAGAAAAGTGAAATTAATTAATGGTTGCATTACATTACTATTACGAAAACGTAAGAAGTAATAAAGCTTTATAAAAAACCATGTATAAATATACACAAAGGTAATTAATATACATACCCGCCTATGTAGTGTGCATCGATGAAAAGTTCGGGGGCCGCATATGGTGGTGACCCGCAAAACGTATCCAGTTGTTGCATGGGTCCTAAATAATGACACAAAGTTATAACAAATATAGAAAGGTTAATAAAATAAAGAATTATTTGGAACAATTCAATATTATACCATTTATGAGGTGTGTACTGAATCCAAAGTCGGCTAATTTGATCCGTGTTTCCGATAGTAACAATACATTTTCAGCTTTTATATCTCTATGTACAAAACCGAGTCCATGCTGAAATATTTTTAATTAATACATAAAATGCGTCATTATGATGTGAAATTATAAAATAAAAGTACATCTATCTTACCATATGTTTAACAGCTAAAACAATTTGTTTAAATAAGTTTGCTGCTTGCTTTTCTTTGAGAGCCCCGCATGTACTGATCTTATCGTACAATTCACCTCCAGCTACCCATTCAGTAACTAAATGAACACGGCCTAATGTTTCTATTACTTCAAAAAGCCTGCAATTAATAAGAGGTATTAAGTATTATAATATATAATACATAAGGATCTTCAGATATATATAATAATAAAATATTTTCTATTTGGGCATCTATCCAAATTACTTGCATTCAAACATTCTCTCACACAATCGTACTCAAGTCTTTTTCTATTTATGTACTTTATTTTATTATTAAACTAATTTGTTTTATAACTATGTTGAAAAGTGCTTCTAAGTTTACATGTTTTATTTGAATTATTTGTATGTAAAGATAAGTCAAACCAAGACTCGAAAATTTTCTTCCGATATTTTTGTTCTTTAACGAAATACTTATATGAATGCCAATGTTGGAGTTTTTATTATTGTTAAATACAAATTGTTGTCGTCCCTAGACAAGTAAATATTATTGTATTTACCTATTGGAATTAGGTAACAGATTGAAATTTGATTTCGTTCACTACTATCAATATTTCCTTACCTAAGTATATGCGGATGATGAACACTTTCTAAAGTACTAACTTCTCTAGAAAGCATTCGCGATGCTTTGGAATCTAATCTTCCTCGATCTACGACTTTTATAGCTACTTTATCTGAAAATGTAGTGCACACGTAGGTAAATAAATATAATATTCATATTATTTGATAATATATTTTTTACCTCTTGTAAGCTGGTGGATAGCTAATTTCACTCGTGAAAAATTTCCTCGTCCGATATCACCACAATATCTGTACAATCCTACACGGCGACCCAATGCGACCTTGAAATTTGATAAACAGAATAATGTAAGAATTATAATTTATGAACTCTTTAACACTTACGGGACGGCACCAATTTCAAAACAATCTCTTATACCGGCTGTAAACTTGATTTCATTGTGTATGTTATGCAATTTGTTTGATAAAAATTTGTGGTCATTGAAGGACATACATTTATAATATTAATTTATTTTTGATCATTTTATAAAGAATGGTGACGTTTAAAACAATTTCCAAAATGCATAGCTGGTTGATTTTGACATGTTTTACAATAAAATGTTGCTCCCGGCCTTCCTCCTGGTGCTCGCATTTAGAATATGCGATTTTCTGATTTGTCTGTATGAAAGTCTATTTGAAACTCATCTTCACTACTACTTAATTCACAAAAGTCGTTTTGCTATATTTAAAAGCGCTCGGTCGTTTTAAATATTAAAACAAAGACTATATAGCAAAGAAAAAGACTAAAAAATACTACTGAAATAACTTTAAATTATTTTCAAAATATAACACTGTTTATCACTGCTATATGTGATTTATTCAACTTTTCGATGCAAAATGAGTCATTGTCTATAAAATAGCCTGTGCCTCACAGAGTTTGTTTGTCCACTCAGGTGGACAGCCGTCCCCAAAGTGTTAATTGTAATGTTATTGACTCTTTTTTTACCTCCTGCACGGCTCGTGGATCATTGTGCAAAGCTTGAATAAGGCGTTGATAGGGAGGTTGTTGCGTCGGGGAGGCCTTTGGGGCCTGATCATTCTCCAGTTTGTTTTCCGTCTTCGTCCTTCCGGCCAGGGCCGGAACGGATGGGCCGCAACTCAACGCCGAAACAGGCGTCGCAACGCGTGAGGTTGGCGGCGGATTCGAATTGACACGAACGCACTCGCCATTCTGAAACAGGATATTTTGGTTAGAAACTCCTTAAAATTATTTATTGCTCGAATTTACAATAATTGAAGCTTAAAATCTATAATTGAGCCTTAACAACCAATCACAAAAATATAATTGAGACTCGAACTGATAATGAGACACTGTATACGATCTAGGTGTTTATAATTTATCTCCAACAATACTAATTCAATACCACAACTTGGGAAATATTTCATTCCATTATTTCAAATAACTATATAAATATATATATATATATATATATATATATATATATATATACATATATATAAACAAAGTCTAGTAATCGGGCATAACATCAATAAAAAACACGAATTTCTTTCAAAAATTTATTTTAAATCCATACGTTTCGGCTATAATCCTAGCCTTCATACAGTGGAAAAATTAGTTAATCTTAGTATTAAATGGGAAAATTTTAATAATCCATGGTATCAGGATATGGTAATGCACTACATTATGTATTATAAACATTAAACTTGTAATTACACAATATTTTCACAAAATACTAATTTAAAAAATCACAATTGGATAGTGTGTTGTCCGTAGACTAGTTGAAGATATATCTGAAGTTCAGGTGTAGTGCATTACCATATCTTGATACCATGGATTATTAAAATTTCCAATTTAACGCTAAGAATAACTAATTTTTCCACTGTATGAAGGCTAGGATTATAGCCGCAACGTATGGATTTAAAATAAATTTTTGAAAGAAATGCATGTTTTTTATTGATGTTATGCCCGATTACTAGACTTTGTTAATACATATGTCAACATCAAATTCAGAATCATACAATATATATATATATATATATATATATATATATATATATATATATATTATTTTATAATATATACCACATTCTTACAAACGTTCCATTCAATTGCAAAGTTAGCACATACTAGTGGGTATCAAAACTTGAATATGTCATTACACTTGTATTTGTTTAAAAGTTAATATGTTAATATTGTTTTGATTGAGATAAAGAATTCTTTTTGAAAACAAAAATAGACCGCATGTCAAAGATCATAACAGCTAAAATTTGTTGCGTCACCTTTGTATGTTACATTGCAGTTTCGATTTTATTGTTAAAATGTACATGAGTAATAATTTGATACCATTAAAAACTAGCTTTAAGTGACATCTTGCCTTGAGGCAAGTTGCATGAATTTTCCGATATGTGTGATAATTGACTTAATAAAGAAGAGACTATAAGAATTGAAATTTAGCAATTTTTTAGATTTAATTTAATTTGGATAACCAAACACACCACTTTTCGTAGGTTTACAATATTTCAGAATGTTCATTAAGATCATGATGAACTCTGTCATTACAGAAGTTTCATCAAAATCGGCAAATATTTATTTTTGAAAAAATAATAGCGCCCCGGCTAATTTTTTTACTAATGACTAATCAGCATGACACCCAACTGATATATTTCCAAAAGCTTTTAAATTTTGAAGTAATAACATTTTAAAATATATTTTTTATTATTATAGAATTTCAGAATTCATCGCTATTATTTATTCCAGTAAAAACACCGAAGAAATTTTTTGTAACCCACAGTACCAAGATAAACTTTTACAAATGGTACTAACAAATATTATTGATATAAAATTGCAATGCTTCACATTAATTACGTTGTTGAATTTATCAATTAATTCAATATGTTAAATAAATAAATAAAATTAAGATAACAACAGGATGCAGCCGATCAGACGTTGCACACCATCAGTATGTTAAATTAAAACGGATGCTTTTATCTTCATATTATATTTCTTAGACACGACAAATTTCAAGCCATAAATTGTTTTGTACAGTTTTTGTATAGTCTATCAATATTTATCATATTGATGTCGAATAACGTATCTTAATTCAGTTTAATGGAAATTGACAAAGCGAACAGATTATCCTTTGAAAACTTCAGATTGAATCATTTTACTGTCAGATTAATAAGCAATTTTTATTTCACAAAAAGTTAATTAAGACAAAATGTTTGGTAAGATTTTACTGAAACCCTCGCCACTTTTAATCTTACATAATTAATGGCTCTCCACTGATATGAGAATATATTATTATGTATTCATAGATGTAAATTATGAAATGATTTATTATCGACGCACATATTGTATGTATATACCTTTCTTTTCACATTTCTGATATACAAATAAATTCCTTGTAATACTAGAATTAGGAAATCAAACATGCTTTGCAATTTAATTAAAAAAAATATTTTAAAATTTTTTTGAAAACCATTGTTAAAAAATTACACTGAGTATTTTGTTTTCACTCATGTGTCAGAACTATATAAATAAATATTGAAGGATTATTTATGCAAAATTTAGATACAACTTAGATTATTGTATCAATGATGAATAAGATTAATAAAATTAATTTGTAAACATACCTCTACTCATTAGGCGGAAATATTTATAAAAAATAATTTAAAATTTTAGAAATTTGCAAAAACTAAAAAGAAAGTTTGTTTTAACATCATAATTAATAGTTCTGTTTGCATTATGAAAGAATAGCATTTTTTGTATTTGCAGATAAAAGGCGTACTCGTACGTCTAATAATAAATAATTTATAATTTTTAAACTTTTCCCAATACAACTAGTGTGATAAGCAAATTTCTATAAAATTATATAATCTGCATTAGAACAATCTACAAATGATTCGGTATGTTTATAAATAATTACTCATATTTATTTATTTTTTTCGAGTACCTGAGCAAAAACTTCATTTTTAAAATAAACGGTTGATTTTTTCCTTAACAATTTTAAAGATTCTGAATCTCATACTCGCTTGAACGCATAATGCCTCATGAACCTGCACTTGAATTTGACAAAATTCGACCTTTTTTTATAAAAATTATGACTATGTTACAAAAGTTTATAATATTAATACTAATTGCGAAAAACTAATTTAATCTCGAGTCATAAATGTCGCAGATCTATAAATTTGAATTTGTTAGCGTGCCGATTTGCGATTAAAAAAGTAATGTAATCTAGAGACATAAGAGTATATGACCGTATAATCGAGCTCAATTAAATGTGAATTTGGAGATCAAAATCAGATGCCTTATCAGATTTATGGCGAAGAAATATATATAAAAAGAGTCGTACAGAAAGTTTCTCAATTTACCATAATTAGAGGTTTTTAGCAATTGTTATATAACAACTGTATTTTTGTATTAAGGGATTGCCATGAATTGAATAGAAAAACAACTTTCGTTTCAATCCAACTCCAAACAACTAAAGAAATTTTATTCACCGGGAAGGCAAAAGTAGTAGTTTTTAGTAGTTATTTTATTATAATCATTAAAAGTAATTACTTCCCGAAAAAGTCATAATTTAGATTAGTTATTTTCATTTTACTATATTTTAAATGAATACATTTAAATGTAATAATTATTACATAATATTGTCACATACATATGTTTTGCGTAAATTATGCTTTTATAAACAATTTCCGATCTATGGCAATCATTTAGTATTAAAAATTAATAATTAGTAAGAATTAAAAAGAAGTCCGAAACTTATTTATTCTGATACATACGTACACTTAAGTTTTTCAAATACAGTTTCTATGGTAATTTGAATTGTCACGATAATATGTATATAATAAGAGAAATATTTCTAAGCTTAACAAATCAAGCCCTACTATTAAATTCTTCATTCAAAAGACTAGCTACTTTTTAGCGTGTGAATAATAAGTCTTTGGGCAAAGAAAAAACGATATCGAAATACAAAGACTCGAAGTTATTCAAAGCTTAGAAATAGTTACATTAAAGTACGTCATGCTATCGAGGTAATTAATCTCAGTTTTCTAAGAAATTCCGACAATAATGACGACGACTTGAAAAGCTTTTGGCATAATAAAAATATGACAGAACTGTTGAAATATTTGATTTTCCTGATGTTGAAATTGTAACTCCTACACTCATTTTATTTTCAATTGCAATCATATCAAATATAAAAAATAATGTGAATTAAATATTTATTCAGTTATTATTTCTTTACAGCCATAACTCAACTAGTACTAATCAAACAAGTTAAAAAATTAAAATTAAAAATCTTCGCACGTATGGATCTAAATCTACATATTATAAAAATATTATACATTTTTAAAAATATTTTAAAATTTCTTTCAATACAAAATTGATTTTTTATTATTCTCTATTTTACCACAAATAATCACGAAGAATTTATATAAATAAAATCAGTAATTCTATGTTTTCTGTAAATACGGTCGTAAGAATGTTGGTGTTTTAAACAATACTAAAATTATGGTGATAATATCTATGTCATGTAATCAAATTTAAAAGCATGTTAAAATTGTTAATATTATTTGTAATATAAAATTTTAAAATGTTTTGTGTTTTCTCTTAATAATTTAGGAAATAGTTCAAATATATACATTAATTGACTACTGTGTCATTAGAAAAAATTGTTGATATTCTATCTCCAACAAATTACCAAGGGCTTCAAAAGCACAATGCTGATTTGATCAACCCGCATTGATCTATTACTTTAAACATGTCATTGGCAAATCATCCTTCAATTTGTGCAAAATCCCCTCAATGCATGCACTCATGAAAATTAATTAATGTACGTCAAAACAATGAAGCGTTACAAATCAACGGCGCCAAGCGATACACGCATATTATATATATATATATATATATATATATATATATATATATTCTGCCATATCAATTAGAAAGATCTTCATGAATTAAATTTAAATGTTAGGTCTGTTGCACACGATATGAGGTTTTCTGGCTTGTGTTCATGGCAAAGATAAAACGCGATTCTCGACGAAGTCCGCCATAAGAAAAATCTAAACATTCTGATGATATCTAATGTATAAAAATAAGTCTGGTTTTCCTTCCTGATTATATAACTCCAGAACGCACGAACCGATTTCGACGATTTTGCATTCGTTGGAAAGGTCTCGGGCTCCGTGAGGTTTATAGC